CCCACAAACATCACATTTGTATGGTTTTTCACCAGTATGTATCCTCATGTGACTTTTTAGATTTCCTGGCCAACTAAATGCCTTCTCACACACTTCACATTTATAAGGCTTTCAGCTGTGTGTGTACTCATGTGTTTCACTGAATGACTTCTCAAATTCATCACATTTATAAAGTGTTTTATCTGTGTGTATCCTCGTATTTCTCCGTAAGGTACCTTATTGGTACCTAGTTTTTTTTCACATGCAATACAGCAATAAGATACATTACCAGTTTGTGTCCTCATGTAGATAGCAAAGTCATCTAATAAAGACAATGCCTTCCGACAAAATTCACACTTAAACATTTCCTCCCTGGTTTGAGAACTTTTTTTTGTCTCTGTAAGTGATCTGAACTACACTTTAATGGGGTTTTACTTACATGTGTGTTGATGTGCCTTTCTGAATTTCCAGTTTGATCTTCATCCGAACAATAGTTCTGTAATTGTTCAGTGTCTTTCTGAATATTTGAATGGGGTTCGAGATCTCTCCTTTCCTTCTGCAAGAATGACAAAGAAATCAGTATTAATGCTCCATAAGGCACTGTTATGATTATATGTATTGTAAGGATAAAAAGTTAAACAAATAAAGATTAAGTTATACTGATTCAAGGTAACAAATAACAAGGGCAAATTCTTGTTATTTGCGCTGTGAATTTCTTAAAGTCGAAACTGCTCAATTTGGTTAAAAAGACTTTTTATGACTTGGCCTCTTGCTAACCATGAATCAATAAAACGTGACGTAATGTAATTGTCTCTCTAATCAATGCTTTTGAACATCATCATAGTTTTTAAAAATCTTTTTTTTGGGTAAATGTGATTAAAAATTGTGTTATCCACCTCTTCACTTCTTCTTTGATGAACCTGACTTCACATTAACAGGTAGTTCATCGATGTTCATTTCCAAGTCGTTTTGTCAGACTGTATACATGTACCAGCATATATACAGCTCAACGCACATTCTAAGCTCATGTTATTTTGCAGAAATGTTGGTCACATTCTTTTGCAATAAAATGAAAATTATCGACCTTAAGATATACTATGTATTACGGCCTTATATTGGACCTGATAAATAAACGATACAATAATTTTAATCATGGTAGCATTTGAAGATGTTATCAAATAAAAAAGCTCCAGCAAAGGATTTTACAAAATTTTGATTTTTGTCAAATTAATTGCACCTTGAATTTCACATTGAAGTCTAGGACAGCTAGCGCATGTTTTATTTTATCGCATATTGTAAACAGTCAATTTCAAACAAATCTCTTGGTTGAAATATGCATCAACTCTCTCTTTATCAAACTATGAAAAAAAAAATTATGTACTGCAGAAATGGTTTGAGAAATCAAAAAAATTTCTTTTTTCCATCAAGGGCAGATAACTTCAAAAATTTAAACGTGCAAAATGACTGTCTCCTTACATGTAATCAGTCTTGTGAATTTAGTTTATTTCACTTTTATCTTTATCTAGCAATGCGTTTTTAAAGGAACTTGGACACGGAAATGAAGTTTATTTTTTTTCTGTATAATATTACGCATTAAACATTTTAATAGCATTACACACAAAAATCAACTAAAATTCTTATTTCATTGAAAAGTTATTTTAACATTGAATTTGGTGCGGGTTTAATTGACACATCCTTGCACTTTCACATATTTTAACTTCATTCTTTATCCTTCAGAAAAGCCCCGTGGGGATCCGGGTCAGAATAGATCCTCAGTACCCCTTGCTTGTCGTAAAAGGCAATTAAATGGGGCAGTCCTTCGGATGAGACCGTTAAAACCGAGGCCCCGTGTCACAGCAGGTGTGGCACGATAAAAATCCCTCCCTGCTCAAAGGCCCTGAGTGCCGAGCATTGGCCAAAATTTGCAGCCCTTCACCGGCAATGGTGACGTCTCCATATCAGTGAAATATTCTGGAGAAGGACGTTAAACAATATATAATCAATCAATCAATCCTTCAGAAAAGTGGCAATCTTGTTGTGTATTCATGAGAAATATTAAAATTTTAATCCAGAAAAATAATTTTATTCAAAGTAGAAATGCTAGAATGCAAAACACCTTCACAAGCATTGTCATTCCGAGCTAAGTCATGTGTGCAAATCGATCACACAGTTTTTGTTTTTGTAAGCAAGGCACGAGCTCTGTATTTGTAGATGATTAGATTTCACCGGGTGCGTTCAATTGTCAAAAGTCTGCTCATATGGTTAATAACATTTGTACAAATTTTCAGACAAATCCTTCCAAGAGTTTTTGAGTATTGGTGTGGAAAAAATCTCGTTTACAGGCAGACGGACTTGGTGATTGCAATATACCCCCCTCCCCTAAACTTCATTTGCAGGGGGTATAAAAAAGTTTAATACGGATAAATTTTGATCAGAAAAGCCCAGTTAGGCATTTGACTGAGGTTAGCCAAACATTTGTGTTTAAACGCTTGTTTGTAAATATTTTTTTCATTGAGAGAATCAGAAAGTTTAAAATTTCTGGAGATTTTAAAAAATTGTGCATAAATGCTTAACTAAATGTCAAAGATTTTTTCATAATCAATTAAAATTGAATTTTCATTTTCTTGATTTTTCGTATAATAGCCCTTCTCTTTAAATGAGTTTCAAAAAATAAAAAAAAACTCTATTCAATGTTTTAATTAGTCAGATTTTAACTGAAAAATCAAAACAATACAGAAAACAATTATAAATTGATACAATTTGCATTGTATATGAATAAACTAGTATTATGCATCAAGCATACTATACTAAATACGTACATGTACGAATAATAAATACACACATGAACAACTAATCAAAGCATTCAAGATTCATTTCATCAACATGTAATTAAGGACAATCATATTAAAAAATAAATTTCATAAACAGGATAAATGACAATCTTCAATTTCTCTGCAATATTTGAATTAAATTTACATCAAACATAGGAGTTCATTGTTTTTTACCAAGACTTATTGAAGATATTTTTAAAGATTTTCATCTAGAAATACCAACTTCCCAACATTTATGTAAGCAAAGGCCAACGTTGGCTAATTAATACTGTAATATAAAAGGAATTATTGATTAATGTCAGACTACTCTTGCCAAATCAACTTACTTCAATTTACAAGGACTTTACTTACCGTATATACTTGCCTATAAGTCGGTCCGCCTATAAGTCGGATGTGTTAAATAAGCTTGCATATCAGATGGACTAACCTCATATAAAACCATACTTTTAATAGCTCGCCTAAGTCGGACAGAGAGTTTTAGACCAAAGATTAACTCCCAAAAAACCGACTTATAGGCGGGTATATACGGAATATGTGTACATATCTGTACCAGACATTTTTCTCTTAAAAAGATTTATGGAACAATTTACTGTTAAAGTAATATCAATTTCCAGATGTATCTATCTTTTTCGATTTCTCAATTACATAAAAAATGAATTTTTAAACTCAATGTATAGTTCTGTTTTAATTGACTTCCTACAAATATCATAATTGTAAAGTTTTTTTAATTGTAAAGTTTTTCATTGAAAAGCGCCAAGATTTGTCTCTATCCAACACTAAAGTATCTCGCCTGTTTGTGTCTTTTTTATGCCTCTTCAAGCGAAATTATCAGTTGAATCAAATTTGTGAGTTTTTCACCATTCTGTTCTGTTTCCAGAGGTAATCTGGAATAGGCTTTCAAACTTTTATATATCTGCAAATGGCTCTTCATCTATGGCTTTTTCCAAATGACTTTCCACAAACATCCTATTAGTAAGGTTTGAAATACGTCACCATGAGTTTCTCTAGGTTACTTTAAATGCTATTTGTACGGTTTTGCATTTACTTGAAATGCTTCACCATGAGTTTATGTAAGTAACTTTAAATGTTAGATCTGTGGTTATTTTTCCAAACACATCACAATACTAAGGTTTCTCGCCTCTATATCTTTTCATATGCATTAGTAATCGATTGAATACCTTTCCGAAAATATCACAATTCTTTGGTTTCTCGTCTCTATAATTCTGTATATAGATCGGTTGAATGATTTTCTACACACATTTAACAGGTTAATCACACGTGTGTATCTTCTGGTGTTTGTCTAGATCAGACTTTTTACTATATGTTCTAAGACAGAAATCACATTTATAAGGTTTATTTCCAGTATGTGTCATCTTGTGTCTTTTTAAATCAGTGGCATATTTGAAGGCCCTCTCACATATATCACATTTGTAAGGTTCATCACCTGTATGTATTCTCATGTGTCCTTGTAAGTGATCTTTCCGGGAGAATAACTTATCACAAACCTCACATTTATACGGTTTCTCACCAGTATGTGTTCTCGTGTGCTTCTGTAAGTGTTGTGACTGGCTGAATGCCTTTCCACACACATCACATTTATAAGGTTTATCACCTGTATGTGTCCTCATATGTTTCTGTAAGTTTCCTGAATTGTTGAATGCCTTCCCACACACATCACATTGAAAAGATTTATCACCAGAATGTGCATCACATTGATAAGGTATATCACCTGTATGTGTTCTCATGTGTATCTGTAATTGATTTGTCTGGCTGAATGCTTTCTCACACACATTACATTTATAAGGTTTATCACCTGTATGTATTCTCATGTGTGTCTGTAAGTGATTTGTCTGGCTGAATGCTTTCTCACACACATTACATTTATAAGGTTTATCACCTGTATGTGTTCTCATGTGTTTTTGTAAGTTCTGTGATTGGTTGAAAGCCTTCCCGCACACATCACATTGATAAGATTTATCACCTGTGTGTATCTTCGTGTGGCGGTATAAGTTGCGTAAATTATTGAAAGCCTTCCCACACACATCACAGTTTTTAAGTTTATCACCTGTGTGTATCCTCAAGTGTTCATTACAGGTATAAGACCGGCTGAATGCTTTTCCACACACATGACATTTATAAGGTTTATCACCTGTGTGTGTCCTCATGTGTGTCTGACAAGTATATGAATGGCTGAATGCCTTGCCACACACATCACATTTATAAGGTTTATCTCCAGTATGTGTCCTCATGTGTGTTTTATAATTGGTGATATATTTGAAGGCCTTCTCACAAATACCACATTTGTAAGGTTCATCACCTGTATGTATTCTCATGTGTACTTGTAAGGTATCCTTCCGTTTGAATAACTTTCCACAAACGTAACATTTATAAGGTTTATCACCTGTATGTGTTCTCAAGTGTGTCTGTAAGTGATTTGTCTGGCTGAATGCTTTCCCACACACAACACATTTATAAGGTTTATCACCTGTATGTGTTCTCATGTGTTTATGTAAGTTGTGTGCTTGGTTGAATGCCTTCCCACACACATCACATGTATAAGGTTTATCACCTGTATGTATCCTCATGTGTCTCTTTAAGGAGCCGGAATCGGCCAATGCCTTCTCACACACACTGCATTTATAAGGTATATCACCTGCATGTGTTTTCATGTGTTTCTGTACACAGGATGAAAAGCCAGGTTTCCCAAATTTGGAAACCCGATGGAAACATATGGGAATCGTGACATCAGTAGTTTCCATGTAGTTTCCATTTTATGGAAACCACATAGTGGTTTCCACATCGATTCCCGACATGGAAACAATCAACCTGTGGTTTCCCGTAAGTTTCCCAAGATAGGAAACCATGGAAACATACCCCGGTGGTTTCCACATAGATTCCCGACATGGAAACAATCAACCTGTGGTTTCCCGTAAGTTTCCCAAGATATGAAACCATGGAAACATGCCCCGGTGGTTTCCATGTAGATTCCCGATATGGAAACAACCAACCTGTGGTTTCCCACGATAGGAAACCATGTAAACATGCCTCAGTGGTTTCCATACAGGTTCCCAACATGGAAGCCACCAATGTGTAGTTTTCCCCATGTTTCCCAGGCAGGGAAACTTTGAAAGTATATATCAACTGAATACTAACCCACCTACCTTTTATTTTACAAAAAGTTAAATATTTAATTATTTTACCATATTTTTACCAATTATAGAAATATTTCAAAAGTATTTACATGCTGTATCAAAATAATTAACTTCAAACAGTTAAAATAACTAGATGTGTATTTCTGTGTGATTAATTTAATATTTCAGCACCGTGAACGCAATTCAATTTTAATTTATTCATCGAATTGGCTGGGGGTTGAGTATTATCATACTAGTATTTTACTATTAATAGTGAATATAGTTTTTTTTTTTTTAATTTATTAAATTATTATTTTTATTATTGGGGATGGGTGGGTTGCTTTTCATCTTTTCTTTGAGAAGCCTCCCCCCCCCCCCCCGTCACTATGGTCGGCCTGTGTAATTAGGGACACCTGTCCTCACGTGCCATTTCAGGTGGAGACACGTGCCGCGAAGACACCTGTCACTGTGTATTTTTTGTATATTCTATGTGAATTGAGACGGTTTTGTACCTAAAGGGAACAATGGGCTGTTGTCGAGCATGTACACACACAGTCTCCGATCGAAAATTCTTTTAAATTAAGATGATGATTCGTGTTTCTTTTATCATTTAAAAAATTGTATATTCCATAAATAAAGTTATACAAGAGAACATATTTATAAAATAACCTACATTTAAGAAGTTCAATGAAAGAACAAACTATTTAGAATTTTTATTTCAATTTTCATTACTGATTTAAAATAAAACTATCCTCTTTAGAAATTAAATAATTTTCTATAGGTATTGAATAGATCTTAATTCTCGTCGTGTATAATTATATTAAATCAGAATGACGTTAATAGATCAATGTGAGATCAAAACTGTATTTAATATTGTTGATGGGTTTTTGTGTGAAATTTGTAATCTAACGTACAAAGACATTTATTAGATAAATGTTTATAATATAATTCATCACATAAAACGATATTTTTTTTCTTTCCTTTTTTTGTTTAAATATGTACGCAGATCCCCGTGTAGTAAACGCCTGCACTTTTCGCATGAAATTACAATGTAGGGTCCTAAATGCACATACATTATATTTAACAAACTTTAAAATTTTCAGCCATTTCTTTTCTCCAAAGGCCATTGCTCTAGACAAAGAAAAGTCAATAATATTTTGCATGATTTTGTTTTCCTTAAGAACAATGGCTTTTAAAGTAGTGCATGCTAAGGCAATCTATTAAAAGAATTAATTGTATAATTAATTCATTGTATAATTGTCACGATTGTATTTTTGTGCAGTTTTTGTTGATTTCATTCTATAGAGGTATGAAGTTTGTCAATACTTCAACAAACATTTCTTTATCTATGTTGTACACTACTTTATTTTTATTCGCCGACATGCTACTCTTTTTTAAAAAAAAAAAAAAACCAATAGACTCGATCTTCAGACCTGTAGGAAAGTAATTTCCGTTAGAGTAATAAACTAACCGGGATTTTATTTTTACTAGCATACCTTACCAGATTTCTTAACGAAAAAAAAAACATTAAAGAAATACAGGGCGGGACCAGCTAAAGCTGTATGCATAAGTACAGCCCTGCACATCAACGAGTATAAATGACTTTCGACATAATATTTCCCATGACTTCACTTATACCAATCACGACTAAGATACTGAGTTAAAATACTGTTATATTTTCCTGCCTTTGATAAGATGTTAGTTTTGTTCCACCTAGAGAAATAACTCTCCTAAGAAAAAGGTTTTCAACATTCTGATTCATTTACTAACAATTTTACGTGTTAAAATATGTTGGAAATTTTTTTTAGCTAAAGGCCAAGGAGTTTAAAGTACAATGTACATGTAGCAATTAGAGAAAAGTCTAGCAGGTCCATTAGTAATATTGATACCAGGCTCAAAATCTAATTAAACCCCGAAAAGGAGGGAGTTCAGTTAGTAATTTAATCCCCCCCCCCCAAAAAAAAAACACAACAATTTATCAGCAATGAATTATTAATCACCGAACTTTTCAATCATCACTATTGAAATAAAAAAAAAACTGTTCTTGATAATCATATTATAATTGTAGCTCATTTTAATGCCTTTTATGATTCTTTTGGAAAGTTCACAATAAAAAAAGTGTGCTTTTAAAAATTTAACATCTTTTGGTGTGACATTATAAATTCATATATATAATCATACATGTAACAGTTAAAAGAAGCGGGGAGAGGGGGGGGGGGGGGAGTTACTTTCAGCAAGGACGGTCACTAAGCCCCGAAACCCATATCCCGAAGGCAAATAAGTTGAGGTGTCAAGCAAGAAACAATTTTTTTTCTGCTCTTGCCTCATGTATCTAACCGCTTTTTTTTTCTTAATATACTAGGCAGGCCTACACATCATATCGGCAAATTAAAATATTTAGGAGCCCCTCTTTTTATTCCATGGAAAGGGGAAAACTTAATTAAATTCTAATATAAGATCTCATAATCACACTTAATCATAGTGAATGTAAACAGTTTATATTTCCCATCCTGCATCGCTCTGTAGGCGCTTTATTTCATTGGTCAATTTCCCGAGGCGCCATTTTTGGAGGATCGAGAAGGACGAAGAAGAAGGTGTAAGCAGCTGGTAAATTTGAAAAGTTAAGATGGTTTCACCACCCAGTGTCTTTAAGACTGTGATAAATGCAATGGCCAACGATGAAGGATTAGTGTACGTATATTTTTGTTAACTTTTTACGGTAAATAGTTGTAATATTTGGCAACAACAAATCTTCACTATCGGAGGTAACTTTTGTTCTGACGCCATTTTGAAAAGTTGGATACCTAAGTTTTAAATTGTTAAGTGTATATATTGCAGAGAGAAAGAGAGAGAGAGTGAGAAAAAAAAAATGAGACAGTGATATAGCATAACTTAGATTATGGAAGCCCCAAATATTAAAGGCACCGTGCATGTACATGCTGTATGTTGTAAAATGGCAACGTTTCGCCTTTTATCATGTTTATTAAAATGTATGCTCCATATGTATGTTCTCTCTCTATATATAAATGAATACTTTTGGGAATTAAAAAAAATATTTTTTAACCCCGCTCAAATTATCCGGATGATAATAGTTACACCGAGCATGGTTTCGTAGTTAAATTCAGACTGTAGAACATCCGGTTTGAATACATGTGTTTTCTGACTTTTCGGATAGCCAGCTCTTGTTTTTTGGAACTTACGACTTATGGCAAGGTATAGATTAAATATTTTTGGTTCAGAACTTTGATAAAAGCATCGATATTTTTACAAAAAGTGTCTTCAATCTCAGCTTATCCGATTATTCATGAAGGATATCCTCATCAGAACAGTTGGAATAGATTGTAGCGAATATAGCATAACCCTTAATCATATGCATGACGATGATATGGAGGAAAAATATACTTAAAAAAGTGAATGTACTTGAAAGCCTGTCCACTTTTCTGAAGAGATAAGGTTTGTTTTATTGTTTATTGAAATAGTTTACTGCTCAAAAGATTTTTTTTTTTGTAATGTCTAACCTGTTGAGATGAAGATGTAAAAAAAGAAAAGCCTAATAGTGAATTAATATTGATAGTATGTCAAGAAATGCAAATGAATCATCAGCTTGAATTATCAGTTTTTTCACAATTATTGACCTGAGTAGGTCAATGTATAGCGAATAATACATACTCTTTTCCATATCACATCCTAGCCCGAGACACCAATATCAGGCAAAGGGACAAATGCCCTAGGGCTGATATTTGTCGAAGGTCTGATACAGGATGTGATGTGGAAAAGGGTATGTTTCATTATGTTCATTACATACTTGGTAATAAAATACAGAACACTTCAAGATGAGAAGATCAAGAAAATAAGTAAATAATCATGCACAATAAAACTACTTACATACAGGGTGTTTCACAATATATGTCACATATCTAAAGACAGATAGATAAATGACAACTAAAGCCACATATACATTTTATATATCATTTTAATCAGCATAAATTCAAATTATTTTTTGGGGTCAGAAGTACCCAACATTCTCAACTTCAGTTACTATAGCAACAAATCCTTAAACGTTATTTTCCAAGTGTTTCCGAACATTACATCCTTAAAATAACTTATGAGACTATTGCTTGGAAATTTCTGACCACTGTTTTGTAAGTTTCACAGGATACTTGAGACTTTTCTTGATTTATATCTGGCTTTTTAGAACCCTCAAAATACATATCTTTTTTATTTAAAGTTGCATATAAATAAATTTGTCGTTTCAAAACTACCGGCATGTGTTAATTGGTGCCCACTTTTTTCGCTCTTCCTTTAAGTCAGTCTTGCAGACTTGAACCAGCTCTGAAAGTCAACTGGCTTTAAATGCTAAAATCTTGTATGCAGACAAACAACTCAAATTTAAGATTTCTAAATACACTTGATGCACTAACCGGCATTGTTACAATCCATTTTCCAAAACTCAGATCTAACTTTCATGAGGTTTTCTCAATGATTGATTTCACTTTAATATTGTTCTCATCTCTTCTTGATTTTTTTTTCGGGGGGGGGGGGGGGGGGGGGGAGGATTTTGCTGTCTTTCATCTTAACTTTAAAATTTAGTTCAAACTCTCTTATCATTCTCAATATATGAAAACTAGACAACAATTTGTGCTCTGAATATTTTTCATCATCACACCCTGTACAATATTCAGAAAATCGTTCTTATAATTAAAGTTTGCAAAAAAATGTTTGCTGCAAGTTGTACTCCATTTTGAGAAAAGTTGACATTAGGAGGTCACTGATTATATCATCAGTTTCTTCATGGTATATTATAATTTCCCCAATACTTTGCAATATCATAATTTTAGATCTATTTGCTTTCCTATAGTGTTTTGGTATTTCTGTTATCATGCTCAATATTCAGATTATGCCCATTTAGATGTGTGACATATATTGTGAAACACCCTGTACATGTACACAATATTGTCTTACTGAACAGATTTAGCTGTCATTAGGTCAAAATTGCAAATAATAACATGCTTCTTATATCTGTATATACAGGTAACTCTTGATGGCTTGAATTTCAATTTCTCGGAAATTCTTGATCGCTTGAAGTGAGTCTCCGGTCCCGATTTTTTCCACTATATAACTAAGCAGATTTGCTCTTGAGTTCTCGAACTCCTGATCTCTTGAAACCCTTGATCCCTCGAAGTCAAAATGCAGTCCCGCTGTGCTGTGAATTTTACCCTTGATATCTCGAAGTGGCTGTGTGTATACCAAGTTATATTGTTCAAACTTTTGCCATAACTGTATATCTGTCTGTCTGTTGTCAACTTAAACCTTCACCATAACTTTAGAACTATACGAGATAGTGGCTTCGTATTTAGTATGCATACTCCACTAATGAAGTGCTTTCAAATGGCAACAAGGACAATGATTATGTGATCTTGACTGTGACCTATATGCTAAAAAAAATTGCATTTTCGAACTTTGTTGCTGTGTTTCACAAGCGCATCTTCTTTTTAGCTCTACTGATCAGAAACCAGAAGAGCTTATGCGATAGTAACGCGTCCGGCGTCCGTCAGTCTGTCTGTCTGTCCGTCTGTCTGCAAACACTACTCCTCCTTAAATTTTAGTCTGATTTAAATATAACTTGGCACACAAGTAGACTATACTAAGAGACATAATTCTGTGCATCAGTTTTTGATAAGTACAAACCAGTAGAGCTACAGTCTCGACAGAGACTTCTGGTTATTTTTTCTGCCATCCTGGTTGTTGCTAATGCTATTACATAATTAGTTTAAATTAGAATGCAATAGTACCTGGACATAATTTATCATTTCAGAGAGAAGAAAACTATGTGACTTTAAAAGAAAGCCAGTGAGATAAAATCATAGAAAATGTATGATGATTCAGGATGTGGTCATTTGGTAAGTGGTAATTCATTCATGATTAGTATGTATATGACAATTGCCTAAAAAAAAAGATTCTAAATTTTATTTAAATACTGAACTGTGGTATATCAGCTGTGAGCTACAAGAAGTTTTATGTAAAAGCTAGGGCTGAAACAATTTGCCCCCTCCATGTTATGTGTGTATTGCTATGATTGGCATACAATCAGTTCTCTAATACATACACTTCAATAAAACTTTGTCGTCTTGAACCTGAATTGAACAGGAAAAAACTCTGAGATCTCTCCAAAAATTGGAATGAAAAAAAAAGGAAATGCTTATTAACTGATTTCTTGCTGGTCAGTATTTTGATTACTTAAAGGAAGCTCTAAAAACTGCACACTAAAGAGTTCTACTTTAATATCAGGAAGTTTTATGAAGTTAGAGTGATCTGCCCATAGATTAAGATTATGAAAAATGTTATTTTACAGTCAGATTATTTTTAATAGATTAAATTATTTTTAGCATTATTTAAAATTAAAAAAAATAGGAAATTAATTATTTTCATAAATTTTTCCAATGTAAGTAAACATCAATGATTTCTGCTTACAGATAGTCCATTGTCTTTGAAAATTTCTTGGGGAAATGAGGCACATACCATATGTTCTAAATGAATAAAAAGGCTCATTATGCACATATTTATATGAAATATGATAGATTTTTTCTCTCCAAGGAATAATTTCTGCAAGTCACTAAGTTTTTAGAGTTTCCTTTATTTCATAGATATTCAATGAAATTATTTGAAGTATTAAATTTTGGTAAATTATATGATACTAAAAGGTTATATGGATGAAAAAACAGCTTGCGTGTATGACAATAGGGCTTAAATTTTTAATGTCTCTTAATTTTTCAGTGACATTAAAACAGGAATAGTCATCACCAATAGACGAATTTCACTTTCCTAAGAGTTTTCTTCAATTGTCGGCGTATCGCTCATTTTCCCCACTTGTCCTTCGTAAGTTACTTGTTCAGAGTTCTTGAAATCTTTTTTCCACTGTCAGTCATTTGGACTGACTGCCACAGGAAGTTTGTCGGTCCAGACAGATTTCTATCGGTCCAACAAAATAATAAAACATAATTTAAAGAAGATTAAAACTGTATTTGAATTTTATTATCATTACATTTGGCACCCTCCGTCAATACACACTGCATACTTCTTCATGCGAATTTGATCATCGTATAACAAATTTCGTTGAATTCCCGAGGGAGGTCTATTTTCTTCATAGGTTTTTAATCTTAGTTTGATTTTTCTCACCTGGCTAATACCTTATCGGCGTCAAAAACTTGTTTAAACAATTAATCAATCATAGTTTGGTACTTGCATTTATTACGAGATACTGAAAAAACGTTTAACAGATTATGATTGGTCGATTAAAGGGAATTCGTACGAAATTTAGTCGGATTTTCGTAAGCTGCTTTCTCGACCTCTACCGGTCATTCGGACTGACACAGAATGTAAAGTGATCGGTCCTTGGTTGTTTTTATCGGTCTTGCCGACAGGACCGAAAGATTTCAAGAACTCTGACTTGTTAATATTTTCAATCTTCAAAAATATTGGACAATTACGATCTGTATCTGTATTGCCAGAGTATGGGGGCAACATGAAAATCATAATGAACATGTTCATACAGATTTTATTTCTAAGATATTGTCCCTCAAAGTTGATACGGTTAAAGAGGGAAAACAGCGTCTTAAGCCGGTTGACCCCAGATCGACCCTGCGAAGGGGAATAACTTTTGTAAATGTGAAAGTCCTTTATGGTATATCATATAGATCTAAAACTGACTGAATTTTGATCAGCCAATTCATGAACGTGATGAATGGATGTAAATAATGTTGGTCAATATATGCAAAAAAAAAATTAAATTACTTGTTTATATATACATTTGTGGTATCTCTCCCATTGAATTTTATAAACTTGTTATTTATTTCTTAAATAAACTGAGCGTACATGCAATACCGGTATAAAATTACTCATAAGATACATGTATACATAAACCATGATAAAATCATAGGTGTCCAATGCAGCATATGATAAATCATTAACATACAAGTACATGTGTATATATACTGTAATACATATATATTGCATTATTTTTAGCTCACCTGAGCCGAAGGCTCAAGTGAGCTTTTCTGATCAAAATTTGTCCGTCGTCTGTCGTTGTCGTTGTCGTTGGCGTCGTTGGCGTTGGCGTTGTCGTTGTCGTTGTCGTAAACTTTTCACATTTTCATCTTCTCAAGAACCACTGGGCCAATTTCAACCAAACTTGGCACAAAGTATCCTTGGGTAAAGGGGATTCAAGATTGTACAAATGAAGGGCCATGCCCTCTTCCAAGGGGAGATAATTATGATTTAGTGAAAAATTAATAGCATTTTTAAAAAATCTTCTTCTCAAGAACCACTGGGCCAGGAAAGATGAAACTCATGTGGAATCATCCTCAGGTAGTGTAGTTTCAAGTTTGTTCAAATCATGACCCCCGGGGCTAGGGCGGGCCAAAATGGCCGACCAAAGTTTTACATAGGAATATATAGGAAAAATCTTTAAAAATCTTCTTCTTAAGATCCACTGGGCCAGGAAAGATGAAACTCATGTGGAATCATCCTCAGGTAGTGTGGATTCAAATTTGTTCAAATCATGACCCCCGGGGCTAGGGCGGGGCCAAAATGGCCGACCAAAGTTTTACATAGGAATATATAGGAAACATCTTTAAAAATCTTCTTCTTAAGAACCACTGGGCCAGGAAAGATGAAACTCATGTGGAATCATCCTCAGGTAGTGTAGATTCAAGTTTGTTCAAATCATGACCCCCGGGGCTAGGGCGGGGCCAAAATGGCCGACCAAAGTTTTACATAGGAATATATAGGAAAAATCTTTAAAAATCTTCTTCTTAAGAACCACTGGGCTAGGAAAGATGAAACTCATGTGGAATCATCCTCAGGTAGTGTGGATTCAAGTTTGTTCAAATCATGACCCCCGGGGCTAGGGCGGGGCCAAAATGGCCGACCAAAGTTTTACATAGGAATATATAGGAAAAATCTTTAAAAATCTTCTTCTTAAGAACCACTGGGCTAGGAAAGATGAAACTCATGTGGAATCATCCTCAGGTAGTGTGGATTCAAGTTTGTTCAAATCATGACCCCCGGGGCTAGCGCGGGGCCAAAATGGCCGACCAAAGTTTTACATAGGAATGTATAGGAAAAATCTTTAAAAATCTTCTTAATAACCACTGGGCCAGGAAAGATGAAACTCATGTGGAATCATCCTCAGGTAGTGTGGATTCAAGTTTGTTCAAATCATGACCCCGGGGCTAGGGCGGGGCCAAAATGGTCGGCCAAAGTTTTACATAGGAATATATAGGAAAAATCTTTAAAAATCTTCTTCTTAAGAACCACTGGGTCAGGAAAGATGAAACTCATGTGGAATCATCCTCAGGTAGTGTGGATTCAAGTTTGTTCAAATCATGACCCCCGGGGCTAGGGCGGGGCCAAAATGGACGACCAAAGTTTTACATAGGAATATATAGGAAAAATCTTTTAAAAATGTTCTTCTTAAGAAACATTGAGAAAGGAAATATGAAACTTAGATGAAATTATCCTCAGGTAGTGTAGATTCAAGTTTGTTCAAATCATGACCCCTGGGGCTAGTTTTGGGCCTAAAATGGCTGACCAAATTTGTACATAAGGATATATAGGGAAACCTTTTAAAAACTTCTTTTCATGTACTTCAAAGCCATAATTAGTGATATTTTCCTATTTATATGGAATCATCCTCAGGTAGTGTAGATTGTACATTGTTCAAATCATGACACCCAGGAGGGTTAAAATTCAAGATTGTACATTGTTCAAATCATGACACCCAGGAGGGTTAAAATTCAAGCCCCCCCCCCCCCCGGTAAACTTTCAGTTTTGGTCTGATATGCTTTTTCCTAGTAGATGTGCTCAGGTGAGCAATGTGGCCCTTGGGCCTCTTGTTAGGTCCTGTTATGTGGATGCCCTAAGACAGTGTCTACCCATCACTCCTCTGATATCAGTTGTTCTGTGCATATTTCTCTCTCAAACCTAAACTACAGAGAGCCTGTGGATAGAGGATGAAGAGTGACCTTGGACTAATTTTCTAGGTCAGAGGTCAGTATCAAAATCTACTGTATATCTTTATTTAAAATCGTAGTCCAGAGTATATTTCTTCCCTGGTGTAATCTAGCTTTTGTGCAATGGGGTGGAGGGTCTGCAATGATCTTCAACCAATTTCTAGGTCGAATATCAAAATTAAAAAAAAAATCTCTCCCTAATATTTTTGTTATTATAAAGGGTATGTTTTCTCTCAAACTAATCAAACTTAAAGCAGGGTTCTTAGTATGAGATACATGAAGTAATATATTCTCAATGACATAATAAGGCTGAAAACATTATTTATATTATTTTTTTTTTCACTTATCATAAAGCATTAAATATTAAAGAGATACATTAAGTGCTGAAATCATATGTATCATGGTCATGGAAAGTTATTATTGATATTGGTATATTAAAGGACATTGACTGATCTTTCAGATTTCTAAGTTATATTCAAGCATTATAATTCTGACATCATATAATTTTGTATGAATATTGCAGATCATAGGTGATGTGAAGAAAACCAGGAAACTGATGTTGAAAGGAGTACTGAATGACCCTTATGAATGGACTTGAATGTGAAAGACTGTTCCATTGTTTATCTAAGATATATGAATTTATTTAATATTTTGATATCACTGAAAAATTCAGTTACAGTTTTTGTACATCAAATGAATTATTAAACATATAAAATGGTAATGCTTTTTTCTTTTACATATAATAAATTTTTTTGATAGATTTTTAAAAGAATACGCATTATTTCACATTGCTTCCTTTAGAAAAGTTAGGGAATCTTGAAGTTTCCCAGTAATTTCCATTAGGAATGGGACTCCAGATAATTCCACCAAGTTTCTGCCACACAGAAAGTGCTACACAAGTTCCATATAGTTTCCTGAGTCAAGGAAACTTCAGGAATCATAAGGTTTCACGAGCTTCCATGTAGTTTCCCATAAAAGAAAACCTTAAGATTCCATCAAGTTTCCATTCCACGGAAACCACTACGCTCATATTCCGTATGGTTTCCTGAGTCAAGGAAACTTTAGGAATCGTGAGGTTTCCCGAGCTTCCATGTAGTTTTCCGTATAAGGAAACCTAAAGATTCCATCAAGTTTCCATTCCACGGAAACCACTACGCTCCGATTCCATATGGTTTCCTGAGTCAAGGAAACTTAGGGAATCATGAGGTTTCCCGAGCTTCCATGTAGTTTCCCGTAAAAGGAAACCTAAAGATTCCACCAAGTTTCCATTCCACGGAAACCCCCTACGCTCCGATTCCATCAAGTTTCCTGATTCTGGAAACCAGTGGAATCTTCAGGTTTCCCATTACGGGAAACTACATGGATGTTCGGGAAACTTCAGGTTTACAGAGGTTTCCGTGGTTCGGGATACCTTATGGAATCGGAGCGTAGGGGGTTTCCGTGTCACGGAAACTTGGCGGAATAACCTAGCATCCGCTACGGAAACCACTGGGAAACATGATGTAAACTTGAGGTTTCCATATGGTTTCCATAAAGTTTCCCATGATGGGAAACCACTTTTTTCACCCAGTGGTAAATGTTGTGACTGACTGAATGCTTTCCCACACATGTCACATTGATAAAATTTATCACCTGTATGTGTCCTCATGTGGCAGTATAAGTTACATAATTTGTTGAATGCTTTTCCACATACATCACATTTATAAGGTTTATCACCTGTATGTATCCTCATGTGTTCATGACGGGTATAAGATTGGGTGAATGCCTTCCCACATACATCACATTTATAAGGTTTGTCTCCAGTATGTATTCTTTTATGTCTGATTAAGCTACTGGACAGGCTGAAGTTCTTTAAACAGAAATCACATTGAAAAGCTTTGCTGGTTGACTCTTCAGCCTCACTTTGAATCTTTGAATTGGATGACCAGACTTCTTTTTCCATCTGTAAATTTAGCAAAAATTGTTTAAAGTAGTGTGTTAAGCTACGATTTTTGATGATTATATGTAGAAAAATTAGAAATTAGACTTTAATGAATTCCATTGCAAACAAAATTTTACTTTCCATTTTTCTTTCTCTTTTTCCCACTATACAGGTGAATAATACGATATACTGTAAACCAACTTTTATTCGCGTGCGAGAAATTTTCGCGAAGTTCGCGAGAGCCTCGTCATTTTATAGTATATTTGTCTATTAAAAACAGATGCAAAAAGGCTTGATCGCAAAAATTAATCGTCGCAAACTAGTTTATCCCTGGTAAATCGCGAAATAAAGTCGTCGCGAATAAAAGTTGGTTTACAGTATTCAAAACGTATTTCGGTAAAAACCGATGTGTCTTGTTTTCTATACTTTAAAACAATGAAGAAAAAGTACATTTTAAATATGTTGCTTAAAAACAATTCTTTAGTTTTGAAAATTATGTTAAACTAGTGCTAATTGTAACGGGAACCGTTACAGATGTTCCCCAAACGCTCCCCAACTCCCTTTCGGTGCCATATTCCCTGTAAGCTTCATTAAATAAGACAAACTCTGTGCATTTTTGACTTTAACAACGTTTTCCCAGAAGGATACCAATTATATTCAATTTTTAGCATTGCACCCAAGCGCATGTGAATGCATGTGCGTTATGACCATATCATCTTGTCTACACTATTTATATATTTTAATATACTATATATTAAAGCATTCAGCCAAAAAGTAATAAAAATCACTCATTCAATAGTATTTTTAAATATACTCGTTTCAAATGCACGCACGTGCGTGCACGTGCATGATGATCATACCTTCTTGTAGGAGTCCCTTACATCTATCTATGTTCTAAATCCCATCTTGTTTGGTTGAAAAACAAGGGAGTTATAGCCATTTAAAGTTTCAGCCAATCAGATTGCAGCACACGTGCATGCACGTGATTTCATGATTTTTTTTACATCATTTTGTAGGATATCCTAATGCATGACTATATTTTAAATTTCAAAGAATTTCCTCAAAAAAACAAGGGAGTTATAGCCATTTAAAGTTTCAGCCAATCAGATTGCAGCACACGTGCATGCACGTGATTTCATGATTTTTTTTTACATCATTTTGTAGGATATCCTAATGCATGACTATATTTTAAATTTCAAAGAATTTCCTCAAAAAACAAAGGAGAAATAGCCATTTAAAGTTTCAGCCAATCAGATTGCAGCACACGTGCATGCGCGTGATTTCATGATTACTTTTTATATATCATATTGTAGGATATGCTAATGCATGACTATATTTTAAATTTCAAAGAATTTCCTCAAAAAACAAAGGAGAAATAGCCATTTAAAGTTTCAGCCAATCAGATTGCAGCACACCTGCATGCGCGTGATTTCATGATTTTTTTTTCTATATCATTTTGTAGGATATGCTAATGCATGACTATATTTTAAATTTCAAAGAATTTCGTCAAAAAACAAAGGAGATAATGCCATTTAAAGTTTCAACCAATCAGCTTGCAGCACGCGCACATGCGCATGCTTTCAAGAAAATTCTTATATATCATGCGGTAGATCTTTATAATGTAGGACTATGTTCAAAATTTCAAAGGATTATGACAAGAAACAAGAAAGTTATTGAGACTTTAGTTTCAGCCAATCAGAGGGAAGCGCACGTGCATGCGCGTGAGATCTTGCTATTTTGACCATGCTATCTTGTCTATACTACTAATGTATCCTTACATTTTGAGTTTCAAAAAAATTTCATAAAAAAATAGAAAAGTTACGGCAATATCCATTATATTGGTAATTTCACCTGTTGCACGTGCGCGCTCTTGCAAGCACGTGCGCGCAAAATGACCTTTGTTTGGCAACTCTACATAACATGCCCACTGACCCTAAAAAGGTTTCACCTAAGTCGGATGTGTAGTTTACAAGATCACTCGTGGACAAAATTTTCCCAGGAAGAAGAAAAATAATAAGAAGAATAATAATAATAAGAAACAGAGTAAAAACAATATGTTCCCCAACTTCGTTTGGGGAACATAATTACCGAATAAGTGGAATTTTTAGTGTGACGCAAATGTAGCAATTTGTCCTTAAAATTGGGTATTTAATTTTTAGCGAGATGTAATAAGAGTGATTTTGAAATACCGACTTAAAAAAGTATTACAACTTCAACACGATTAAATAAATATAAGAAGTCCATGGGCCACCTGAACACTGTAGGTAGGAAAAAGGAGAAATTGGTATCTCATTGAAATTATATTTATATCTGTTTAAATTACCAATTAAAGTAGGATTAAAAAGATTAATTATTGTTTTAATGATGCAAACGTCTTTATACATTTCATTGATGGAATAGCCACTGATTAAGAAATCTGTACAGGCGACCTCCTACTGCAGTTTATGCAGTGATGAACGCAATGGGGTTTCTTAAGAAATAAAGGAGAAAATATTCAGTGGATGTAAATATATAAATATAATCAATTACAGCTTTGTTATTTTTGAGAAGATTTTTTAAAGAATTCTCCTTTATATTTCTATGTAAGACTTTCGTTGGCAATTGTTGCCCCGCCCTATCCCGGTGGTCCTGATTTGAACAAACTTAAATCTACACTACCTGAGGATGGTTACACATGAGTTTCCTGGCACAGTGGTTTTTAAGAGGCACAGTGGTTTTTAAGAGGAAGATTTTTAAAACATACCACTAAATGTTCATTAATTCCCAATTATCTCTTGAGAAGATGTCAATAATGTGAAAAGTTTACAGACAGACAGACGGTCGCTGGATACATGATCAGAATTTAAGCTCACTTGAGCCTTCGGATCAGGTGAAGCTTTCCAACTGATACACTTTAATGGCGTTTTACTTACATGTGTGTTGATGTGCCTCTCTGAATTTCCAGTTTGATCTTCATCTGAACAATAGTTCTGTAATTGTTCAGTGTCTTTCTGAATATTTGAATGGGGTTCGAGATCTCTCCTTTCCTTCTGCAAAAATGACAAAGAAACCAGTTTTAATGCTCCATAAGGCACTGTTCTGATTATATGTATTGTAAGGATAAAAAGTTAAACAAATAAAGATTTAGTTATACTGATGCAAGGTTACAAATAACAAGGGCAAATTTTTGTAATTTGCGCTGTGAATTTCTAAAAATCGAAACTGCTCAATGTGGTTAAAAAGATTGTTTATGACTTGGCTCCTTGCTAACCATGAATCAATAAAACATGACGTAATTGTCTCTCTTATCAATGCTTTAGAACATCATCCTAGTCTTTTTAAAATCTTTTTATATCAAAAATTGTGTTATCCACCTCTTCACTTCTTCTTTGATGAACCTGCCTTCACATTAACAGGTAGTTCATTGATGTTCATTTCCATGTCGTTTTTTCAAACTGTATACATGTACCAGCATATATACAGCTCAACGCACATTCTAAGCTTACATTTTTTTGCAAAAATTTTGGTTCCATTTTTTGCAATAAAATGAACATTTTCGACCTTAAGATATTTAATGTATTACGGCCATATATTGGACCTAATAAATAAATGATACAATATTTTAAATCATGGTAGCATTTGAAGATGTTATCAAATAAAAAAGCTCTAGCAAAGGAATTAACAAAATTTTGATTATTGTCAAATTAGTTGTACCTTGAATTTTACATTGAAGTCTCTGGACAGCTCATGTTTTATTTTATCAGATATTGTAAAAAAGTCAATTTCAAACAAATCTCTTGGTGGAAATATGCACAAACTCTCTCTTTATCAAACTATGAAAAATAAATTTGTACCGCAGAAATGGTTAGAGAAAACATTGAAAAGTTATTTTAACTTTGAATTTGTTGGCGGGTTTAATTGACACATCCTTGCACTTTCACATATTTTAACTTTATTCTTAATCCTTCAGAAAAGTGGCAATCTTGTTGTGTATTCATGAGAAATATTAAAATTTTAATCCAGAAAAATTTTTTTATTCAAAGTAGAAATGTTAGTAAGTAAAACACCTTCACAAGCATTGTCATTCCGAGCTAAGTCATGTGTGCAAACCGATCACACAGTTTTTGTAAGCAAGGCACGAGCTCTGTTTTTGTGGATGTTTAGATTTCACCGGGTGCGTTCAATTGTCAAAAGTCTGCTCATATGGTTAATAACATTTGTACAAATTTTCAGACAAATCCTTCCAAGAGTTTCTGAGTAATGGTCCAGAAAAAATCTCGTCTATAGACAGACAGACAGACGGACATGGTGATTCCAATATACCCCCCTCTAAACTTCGTTTGGGGGAGGGGTATAAAAAAGTTTAATACGGATAAATTTTGATCAGAAAATCCCAGTTAGGCATTTGACTGAGGTTAGACAAACATTTGTGTTAAAACGCTTTTTTATAAATATTTTTTTTCATTGAGAGAATCAGGAAGTTTAGATTTCTGGAGATTTTACAAAATTGTTCATAAAGGCGTAACAAAATGTCCGAGATGTTTTCACAATCAATTAAAATTAAATTTTCTTTTTCTTGATTTTTCGTATAATAGCCCTCCTCTTTAAACGAGTTTTTAAAAAATAAAAAAAAATTCTATTCAATGTTTTTATTAGTCTGCTTTTAACTAAAAAAGCAAAACAATACAGAACACAATTATAAATTGATCGATTTGCATTGTATATGAATATACTAATATTATGCATCATACTATACGAAATACGTACATGTTCGAATAATAAATACACACATGAACAACTAATCAAAGCATTTAAGATTCATTTCATCAACATGTAATTAAGGACAATCATATTAAAATAAATTTCATAAATAGGATAAAATAAAAATCTTCAATTTCTCCGCAATATTTAAATCAAATTTACATCACACAAAGGAGTTCATTGTTTTTTAACCAAGACTAATTGAAAATATTTTCAAAGATTTTCATCTAGAAATACCAACTCCAACATTTATGTAAGCAAAGGCCAACGTTGGCTAATTAAACTGTAACATAAAAGGAATTTCTAATTAATGTCAGACTACTCTTGCCAAATTATTTTACTTCAATTTACAAGGACTTTACTTATATGTGTACATATCTGTACCAGACATTTTTGTCTTAAAAAGATTTATGGAACAAATCACTGTTAAATTAATTTCAATTTCCAGATGTATCTATCTTTTTTGATTTCTCAATTACATAAAAAATGAAATTTTAAACTCTATGTATAGTTCTGTTTCAATTGACTTCCTACAAACATCATAATTGTAAAGTTTTGTTTTAATTGTAAAGTTTTTCATTGAAAAGCGCCAAGATGTGTCTCTATACAACACTAAGGTATCTCGCCTGTTTGTGTCTTTTTATGCCTCTTCAAGCGAAATTATCGGTTGAATCAAATTTGTGAGTTTTTCACTAATCTATTCTGTTTCCAGAGGTATTCTGGTATAGGCTTTCAAACCTTTATGTATCCACAAATGGCTCTTCATCTATGCCTTTTTCCAAATGACTTTCCACAAACATCCCATTAGTAAGGTTTGAAATACGTCACCATGAGATTCTGTAGGTTACTTTAAATGCTATTTGTACGGTTTTGCATTTATTTGAAATGCGTCACCATGAGTTTATGTAAGTTACTTTAAATGCTAGATCTGTGCTTAATTTTCCAAACACATCACAATACTAAGGTTTTTCGCCTCTATATATCTGTATCTAGATTTTTTACGTATGCATTAGTAATTGATTGAATACCTTTCCGAAAATATCACAATTCTTAAGTTTCTCGTCTCTATATTTCTGTATATAGATCAGTTGAATGATTTACTACACACATTTAACATGTTAATAACACGTGTGTATCTTCCGGTGTTTGTCTAGATCTGACTTTTTACAATATGCGCTTAGACAGAAATCACATTTATAAGGTTTATTTCCAGTATGTGTCATCTTGTGTCTTTTTAAATCAGTAGCATATTTGAAGGCCCTCTCACATACATCACATTTGTAGGGTTCATCACCTGTATGTATTCTCATGTGTCCTTGTAAGATATCTTTCCGGGAGAATAACTTATCACAAACCTCACATTTATACGGTTTCTCACCAGTGTGTGTTCTCATGTGCTTCTGTAAGTGTTGTGACTGGCTGAATGCTTTCCCACACACATCACATTTATAAGGTTTGTCTCCTGTATGTGTCCTCATGTGTTTCACTAAGTTCCCTGAATTGTTGAATGCCTTCCCGCATACATCACATTCAAAAGATTTATCACCAGAATGTGCATCAAATTGATAAGGTTCATCACATGTATGTGTTCTCATGTGTGTCTGTAAGTGATTTGTCTGGCTGAATGCTTTCTCACAAACATCACATTTATAAGCTTTATCACCTGTATGTGTTCTCATGTGTTTTTGTAAGTTCTGTGATTGGTTGAAAGCCTTCCCGCACACATCACATTGATATGATTTATAACCTGTGTGTATCTCCGCGTGGCGGTAAAAGTTGACTAAATTATTGAAGACCTTCCCACACACATCACAATTTTTTAGTTTATCACCTGTGTGTATCCTCATGTGTTCATGACGGGTATATGACCGACTGAATGCTTTTCCACATACATCACATTTATATGGTTTATCACCTGTGTGTATCCTCAAGTGTTCATGACAGGTATATGACCGGCTGAATGCTTTTCCACACACATGACATTTATAAGGTTTATCACCTGTGTGTGTCCTCATGTGTGTCTGACAAGTATATGAATGGCTGAATGTCTTCCCACACACATCACATTCATAAGGTTTATCTCCGGTATGTGTCCTCATGTGTGTTTTATAATTTGTGGCATGCTTGAATAATCTCTCACAAACACCACATTTGTAAGGTTCATCACCTGTATGTATTCTCATGTGTACTTGTAAGTTATCTTTCCGGTTGAATAACTTTTCACAAATGTTACATTTATAAGGTATATCACCTGTATGTGTTCTCAAGTGAGTCTGTAAGTGTGGTAACTGCCTGAATGCTTTCCCACACACTTCACATTTATAAGGTTTATCACTTGTATGTATCCTCATGTGTGTCTGTAAGTTGTGTGCTTGGTTGAAAGCCTTCCCACACACATCACATGTATAAGGTTTATCACCTGTATGTATCCTCATGTGTCTCTGTAAGGAGCCAGAATCGGTGAATACTTTCTCACACACACTGCATTTATAAGGTATATCACCTGCATGTTTTTTCATGTGTTTCTGTAAATGTTGTGAATGACTGAATGCTTTCCCACACATGTCACCTTGATAAAATTTATCACCTGTATGTGTCCTCACGTGGCAGTATAAGTTACATAATTTGTTGAATGCCTTCCCACACACCTCACATTTATAAGGTTTATCACCTGTATGTATCCTCATGTGTTCATGACGGGTATAAGATTGGGTGAATGCCTTCCCACACACATCACACTTATAAGGTTTGTCTCCAGTATGTATTCTTTTATGTCTGATTAAGCTACTGGACAGGCTGAAGTTCTTTAAACAGAAATCACATTGAAAAGCTTTGCTGGTTGACTTTTCAGCCTCACTTTGAATCTTTGAATTAGATGACCAGACTTCTTTTTCCATCTGTAAATTTAGCAAAAATTGTTTTAAGTAGTGTGTCAAACTACGTTTTTTGATGATTATATGTAAAAACATAGGTAATCAGAGATTACAGAGCTCACCTCAACGTGTGTTGTCTTTAAGTATAGCAAATTAAATCACACAATTAATTAACAAAAAGTGTGCATCCAAAAATGCAAAGTTTATGCAATTTTGATACTTTGGAATAGACTAGAATAAACTAGTTCTTCATCATAAAAATGTAATTAAAATCCAGCACCCGAAGCAAGATTGAGAGTTTTCATCCCTTGATGCATCATTTGTGCAACTGGTTTATATAAGCCTTATAATTTCTTGGTGATAGACTTGCACAGATAAATTTTATGAGGTCTATTATCTGGAAAATGAGTGTCGAATTCAGCATCTGAAGCAAGTCCATTAGTGTGCATCCTAAGATGTATCATTCATGCAAGTTTGGTCAGCATAGGGCTTAAAGTTACTTGCAAATGAAACCTGTATAAACAAATTAACCTTTCCACTAATCCAGAAAATGTAGGTCAGATTCAGCATCTGAAGCCAGCCTAGTAGAATGCACCCTTAGATGTACCATCCATGCAAGTTTGGTCATTATAGGGCTCAAAGTTACTTGGAAATGAATCCTGCACCATAAACTCTAACCTGTTTACTCATCCAGAAAATGCAGGTCAGATTCAGCATCCGAAGCAAGTCTGGTAGTATGCATCCTAAGATGTAACAATCCATGCAAGTTTAGTCGTTATAGGGTTCATAGTACCTTGGAAATGAAACCTGCACCAAAAATTTTTACCTGTTCACTCAACCGGAAAATGTAGGTCAGGTTCAGCATTAGAAGTAGGTCTTGTAATATGCATCCTAAGATGTACCATCCATGCAAGATTGGTCATTATATGTCTCATAGTAACTTGGAAATGAAACCTGCACCAAAAACTTAAACCTGTTCACTCAACCGAATAAAAGGAGGTCAGATTCAGCATCCGAATCAAGTCTAGTAGAATACATCCTAAGATGTACCATCCATGCAAGTTTGGTCATTATAGGGCTCAAAGTATCTTCGAAATGAAACCTGCACCAAAAATTTTAACCTGTTCACCCAACCGGAAAATGTAGGTCAGATTCAGCATCCGAAGCAGGTCTTGTAATATGCATCCTAAGATGTACCATCCATGCAAGTTTGGTCATTATATGTCTCATAGTTACTTGGAAATGAAACCTGCACAAAAAACTTCAACCTGTTCACTCAACCGGAAAATGTAGGTCAGATACAGCATCCGAAGCAATGCTTTTAGTATGCATCCTAAGATGTATCATCCATGTCAGTTTGGTCAACATAAGGCTTAATAGTTACATGGAAATGAGAGCTACACCAAACACTGCACCAACAAGATGTGTGTGTTTGTAAAACACTGATGCCCCAGTATGGCAACAGAGCAGAGATTGAGCTTTTCTTAAATGCAAATTCAATTAATTTGTACTAAATGTAGGGTATTCTCACTGGAAAACAATTGTGCAATTTGAAAGTAAGCTTATGTTAAAGTTTTTAATAAGTACAAAAATCTACAAGGTCAAGGTTAAAAGGTCAATTTAATTAGTATCAAATGAAAGGTCTTGCCACATAAAATACTTATGTAGAGCATGAAAGCCCTAGCCCTAACCGTTCAGAAGTTATGGTCAACGTTCAATTTCTGAAAAAATAGGTCAAACTCCAAGGTCAACGTCATAGGGTCAAAGTTATTGCTATCAAATGAAAGGTCTTGTCATAAGCATCAAATATGTAAAGTATGAAAGCACTAGCCCTAACTCTTTAAAAGTTATGGTCAAGGTTTGCGTTTTTCAAGTAGGTCAATCTCAAAGGTCAAGGTCAAAGGGTCAAAGTTCTTGGTATCCAATGAAGGGTCCTCTCACAAGGATTACCTATATGAAGTATGAAAGCCCTAACCCTTACCGTTCAAAACTTATGGCCAAGGTTAAAGTTTTTTTCACAAGTACGGAAATCTAAAAGGTCAAGGTCAAAGGGTAAAGGTTGTTCAGTAAAAGGTATTTTAACAAACGTTACATATGTGAAGTATAAATGTCCTGGTGTCTACTGTTCAAAAGATATGGCCAAAGTAAAATTTAAAAATTTTCAAGTAAAATTGGGTCAAACTCCAAGGTCAAAAGGTCAAATTTGGTGGTACCCAAAGAAAGGTCTTGTCACAAGGAATACACATATGAAATAAGAAAGTCATAGCTCCACTAAATCAAAAGTTTTGGGCAAGGTTAAAGTTTTTGGGGACAAACAGACAGAGAGACAGACAGATGGACACGACAAAAACTATATGCCCCAGAAACTTCGTTTACGGGGACATAAAAATGTTAACCTGCACCAAAAACATTAACCTGGTCATTTCTTTGCTGAAATTGCAGCATCTGAAACTTTGACTGGTACAATGAAACACACTAGAAACATCTTCCATGCATGTCTAATCAATATAGGACATAGAAGTACTTAAAAAGAAAACTGCTCCAAAAAACTTAACCTTAACCCGGGAAGCCGACGCCGACACTGACGCCGACGCCGAGGGTATCACATAAGTTCCCCCAACTTCGTTGAGGTGAGCTAAAAATCAGAAATAAGATTTAAAAGAATTTCATTGCAAACAATTTTACTTTCATTTTTTCCTTTTTTTTCTACTATACAGGTGAATAATACGATATATTCAAACATATTTAGGTAAAAACTGATGTTTCATGTTTTCTGTACTTTAAAACAATGAAGTAAAAATCTATTCTAAATATGTTGCTTAAAATAATTCCTTAGTTTTGAAAATAATCTTGAGAAGATAAATTTAAAGCAATTTCCTATATACAGGAGCATATACGAGAGGTTATCAAAAAGTTCGTGGACTGGCGTTATAAAATAAATACTATACTAGCTGGGTTAACAAAATTTATTGTCGATTTAAATTAAGTTGAAGTTATTCTGAAAATTTCAACTGTGTACAATTCAAAACCATAATTTTATCGTAAAATGAATAACACAAGATATGGTAACCCGGCGCTGTTGCCGGTTCAGTTTTTTGACGTCGTGTAACGTCATCGCGTCATGACTTTTCAAAGTACTCTCCACCTGCAACAATACACTTTTCATGGCGATGTACCCAGGAGTGAAATATGGAATGATACCACTCCTGTTGATAAGATGCTAGTTTCTGGTTTACTACTGACTTCAGCTCTGTAATGTCATGAAATTTTCTCCCTCGTATATCGCTTTTCAGTCTTGGGAAGAGCGCAAAGTCGCAAGGTGCGAGGTCTGGTGAGTACGGTGGGTGGGGCAGAATTTCGGCTCCTAGCTGTAAGTTGATTGTGAGTACGGTCTCTGCGGAAGTGTGGGATGGGGCATTGTTGTCATGATGCAGAAGAATGTTTTCCCGATTTAAGTAAAAATCAGGCCTTTTTTTCCTAAGCGCATTAACTAAGTCCTTTGATAAAACCTATAAATATAAAATCAACAGTGCAGTTGCGCGTTAATATTTTAAAACAAAATGACTGATAATGTTCAAATATTTCACCATTCGCTTTTTTTATAATTGCGTAATCAATAATTCAATTTATTGTATTACTTTTATTGGGTTTATATGTGTGAATTTTATAAAAGTTAGGCCTACAGTACTTCATATTTCTTTCTTTTTATGTATTAAAAATTATATCTAACCTTTGAGTAATATTTTGCATTTACTGATCTTCCCTTAGGCACAACGTGACTTAAAATAACTCCACGTGAGTCAAAAAATATTATAAACATGTGCTTTTCACAGGATTGACAGACTCTGGCCTTTTTGGGAGGGGTTGAATTAGACCCAATACATTGCATTGACATTTGTTTACTTTCCGGGTCAAAATTGGATATCCATGTTTCGTCTACCGTGAAAATTCGGTCCAAGAAGTTCTGATCACTGCGAAATCGGCGCAGAAACTTTTTTGATTCTTCGACTCTTCTGACTTTTTCAAAATCTTTTAAGAGTCTTGGTACCCATCTTGCACACACCCGGGACATTTTCAAGTCGTTGTGTACAATGCTGTGTATGGATCCATAGGAGATAGAAAGATCTTCACTCAACTGTGTTAATGTAATCCGTCTATCTGAGTTTAAGATTTCCCTGACGCGATCAACGTTATTTTCAGTGGTAACAAGTTTCGGGCATCCGACTCGCAAATCGTCTTCACATGATTCTCTACCGTCTCGAAATCGTTTGTGCCACTTAAAGACAAGTGATCTTGATACATTTTTACTTTCCCCTGCCTGATTAAACATTTCCAAGGTCTCTGTTGGAGTTTTACCAAGTTGAACGCAAAACTTTATTTCATTTTTAACTTGTACAATTTTGAACAAACTTATAAAAATGGCTATAAAATTCCACAAAATGCACTAAATGACGTAAAATTTCAAAATATTACGGAACAGTTGTATGACGTCATATTGTAAAAATTACGGGAAAGTGTGATAAGAAATAGTCATTATTTTTCAATCTATATTTTACACTTGAAGATCAGAAATTGTCATATTTTGAGGTTGCGCCGCCTAGCCAAACTATAGCAAAGGTTATAGCATGTAATTTTTTAAAAAATGATAATTGAAATATAAAATCTTCATAGTATGTAGGAAAGATGTATATTTAGTTACACTCCAAATTTTATTGAAGTACCTTGAACGGTATTAATTTTATAGCGCTAGTCCACGAACTTTTTGATAACCCCTCGTATATATGTAAATATCTATATATTTACATTTCCAATGTCTTCGAGATAAAATTACCAATTGTAAATGTAATTGATTTCCTCATAAATGTTTTGGCGCGGTTTCAAAAAAAAAAAAAAACTAGGTGCAGGGAAGGACAACTACTAGAGAGTAGCAGGCTTGGAGCACGTGGATTGGCGGAATCAAAGCATGTAAATATAAGGAATAACTGTCAGATTTTTCGAATTCATGAAGATGATCAATGGATTGGCTTGTGTGATAATTTTATGCATAAACGCCTTCGGCTTTTATGCAAATTATCACACAAACGAATCCATTGATCACTTCATGAATTCTAAAAATAAGACAGTTATTCCTTAAAGAAAACTTTGGTTGGCAATTGTGGCCCCGTCCTATGCCTCCTGATTTGCACAAACTTGAATCTACACTACCTGAGGATGCTTCCATATAAATATGATCAATTACAGCTTTGTTAATCATGACAATTTTTTTAAAGAATTCTCCTATTTATTTCTATGTAAAACTTTGGTCGGCAATTATGGCCCCACCCTACCCCCGGTGGTCATGATTTGAACAAACTTAAATCTACACTACCTGAGGATGGTTACACATGAGTTTAAGTTTTCCTGGCACAGTGGTTCTTAAAAAGCAGATTTTAAAAACATACCACCACATTTTCATTAATTCCCAATTATCTCTTCAGAAGAAGTCGAAAATGTGAAAAGTTTACAGACAGACAGACGGACGCTGGATATTATATTAACAAAATATAAGCTCACTAGAGCCTTCGGCTCAGATGAGCTTAAAACGGGATTTTCTGTACCCTAATTTTGCATCATAACTTTGTAGCTAACTGGGATTTAAATCCATTGTTTGCTACGATGCTAAGCAACACAGGTCAAAGTGTAGTTAATGTTTATAAGGATAATATCAAAATGAATTGAGATTTTTATTAAGGATTTTTGACAGGTTTAATTAAATCGTGTTATCTGTCTCTTCACTTTTTTCTTTGATAAATCTGATTTGAAAACGGCTCACATTAATATGTATATCACTGATGTTCATTTACATGGCATTTTGTCTGACTATGCCAACTTCGTTTTTATGTTATTACCTATATGAATCCTCATGTGTTTTTGTAAGGTATCTGATCTTCTGAATGTCTGTCCACATACACCACATTCAAAAGTTTTTTCACCGGTATGTATCCTCATGTGTCTATTTTTGGTACTTGATTGGTAAAATGCCTTTCCACACACATCACATGTATAAGGTTTTTCACCAGTATGTGTCCTCATGTGCCTTTGTAAGTCATTTGACTGATTGTATGTCTTTCCACACACATTACACTTATAAGGTTTATCACCTGTATGTATCCTCATGTGATTCAATAAACTACTTGAATGGTTAAATGCCTTCTGGCAAACATCACATTTATAAGATTTATCAACTGTATGTATTCTCATGTGTTGATGTAATTCACCTGATTGTTTGAAAGCCTTCCCACACACATCACATTTATAAGGTTTTTCTCCTGTATGGATCCTCATGTGATTCTGTAAGTTTCTTGAACAAGTGAATGCCTTATCACACATATTACATTTATAAGGTTTATCCTCTGAATGTAAAATCCTCTTGTGACTCTGTAAGTCACTTGAACGAGTGAATGCCTTCCCACACACATCGCATGTATATGGTTTTTCACCTGTATGAATCCTCGTGTGAGTCTTAAAGCCCTTTGAATGAGTGAATGCCTTCATACACACATCACATTTATAAGGTTTTTCACCTGTATGTATCATTATATGGTCCTGTAGGGCTTTTGCTCCAGAAAAACTCCTTTCACACACATTACATTTATAAGGTTTTTCCCCAGTATGTGTCTTCATGTGATTCTTTAAGTGCTGTACCTGATTGAAAGCCTTCCCACATACATCACATTTGTAAGGTTTTTCCCCAGTATGTGTCCTCATGTGATTCTTTAATTGTTGTAACTGGTTGAAAGCCTTCCCACACACATCACATTTGAAAGGTTTTTCACCAGTATGTGTCCTCATGTGAACTTTTAAGCTCTGTGAATGCTTGAAAGCCTTCCCACACACTTCACATTTGTACGGTTTTTCACCAGTATGTATCCTCATGTGACTCTTTAGATTTTTTGACCTACTGAATGCCTTCTCACACACTTCACATTTAAAAGGCTTTCCAATAGTGTGTGTACTCATGTGTGTCTGCACGTGTTGTGGCTCACAGAGTGACTTCTCAAATACATCATATTTATTAAGTGTTTTATCTGTGTGTGTCCTCATATTTGTATGTAAGGCACCTGATTCGTTCCGAGTTTTTTCACATGCATTACAACAATAAGATACATTACCAGTTTGTGTCATCATGTAGCTACAAAAGTCATCTGATACAGACAATGCCTTCCCACAAAATTCACACTTAAAACTTTCCTCCCTGGTTTGATAACATTTATTAGATTTTTCACCTGTATGTATCAAGATATGGTCCTGTAGGGCTTTTCCTACCGAAAACCTCCTTTCATACACATCACATTTATAAGGTTTTTCCCCAGTATGTGTCCTCATGTGATTCTTTAAGTGCTGTAACTGGATGAAAGCCTTCCCACATACATCACATTTGTAAGGTTTTTCCCCAGTATGTGTCCTTATGTGATTCTGTAATTGTTGTAACTGGTTAAATGACTTCCCACACACATCACATTTGAAAGGTTTTTCACCAGTGTGTGTCCTCACGTGACTTTTTAGGTTCTGTGACTGGTTGAAAGCCTTTCCACATACATCACATTTGAAAGGTTTTTCACCTGTATGTGTCCTCATGTGACTCTGTAAGTTCTGTGACTGGTTGAAAGCCTTCCCACACACTTCACATTTGTATGGTTTCTCACCAGTATGTATCCACATGTGATTCCGTAGATTTTTTGACCAACTGAATGCCTTCTCACACACTTCACATTTATAAGGCTTTTCAATAGTGTGTGTACTCATGTGTGTCTGCACGTGTTGTGGCTCACTGAGTGACTTCTCAAATACATCATAGTTATTAAGTGTTTTATCTGTGTGTGTCCTCATATTTGTATGTAAGGCACCTGATTCGTTCAGAGTTTTTTCACATGCAGCACAACAATAAGAAACATTACCAGTTTCTGTTGTCATGTCGATAGTAATGTCACTAAATACAGATAATGCCTTCCCACAAAATTCACACTCTGAATCTTTCCAACTGTAACACTTTAATGGCTTTTTACTTACATGTGTGTTGATGTGTCTTTCTGAATTTCCAGTTTGATCCTCGTCTGAACAATAGTTCTGTAATTGTTCAGTGTCTTTCTGAATATTTGATTGGGGTTCAAAATCTCTCCTTTCCCTCTGCAAAAATGACAAGGAAATCAGTTTCATTGCTCCATAGGGCACTGTTCTGATAGAATTTAATCTAAGGATATAAAATGTAAACAAACTAGAAAACTGACCAGTCAGCAAGGGCCCCGCCATGGGGTAGAATTAATAGGGTGCAGCTTACTGAATTATGAAAAAATGTACGAAGAATAAGCAACAGCAACTGTATTCTTAAAATTTCAAGATAATTCTTGAATATTCAAAAACCTGAAAATAATATCCTTGTATTTACATTAGACAGTAAAGAACAACTTAACATTGAATGTATATTTAAACAACTATGAAGCTTGTGTTATATAAAATGCCAGCCTTCAATGACTGCAAATATCATGAAGGCTTGACCTTAACTTCAAACAAACAGCAGTTGCAGACAAAGGTTTTCATTAATCTAAGACAGATAAAGGAAGCCTTCTAAATTTTCTGCAGCAGACTAGATAATTAATCCCAAGGGATTAATTGACTACCTCTCTCATCATTTTCTTCTAAAGTTGCAATAAGAACTTTTTCCGTATTAATGATAGAATGTGTTTTTTATACAACTATCCTAAAAATAATAATATACTTAAATTAACAAAAAGTGAAAATTTCTGAACTACCATACCAAATTTGAACATAATTGGGCAACCATAAAAAAAAGTTATTAGAAAAAACAGAAAATTTGTGGACGGAAGAGTGACAGACGGACAGACAAACAGACAGACAGACAGACGGATGGACAGACAGAGTGGTTACTATAGGGCACCCACAAATTCTTGCGGGGCCTTAATAAAGATTAAGTTATATTGATTCAAAGTTAAAGGGTTTTATTTTAAAAAAGGGTGAATGAGAAAGGTAAATAATGACCCCTTTAGCCCTGTGAATATCTGAAAATTGAAATTGTCCAGATTTGGTTAAAAAGACTGTATTTATGACTAGGCCCCTTGGTAAGTATGTATCTATAAACATGAAGTTCTCTCTGATCAATAGTTTACAAGATAATCATATGTGTGTTAATGTTTCTCTGTAAAACAAAATAACATCTGGAAAAAATTACATGCTTTACAAGAAAAATTCCAGGTGCACACCTTCATATGGTGAATAATAAGTGAATTGTAAGTGTACAATTTTCAGATAAATCCATGAAATAGTTTTTAAGAAATGGTCTGCACAAGACCACAAAATAAAAATGAAACATGAGGCTCAGGGGCCATAGCGCTCATCTGAACACATCGGCTAGGAAAAAGCACATATCAGATCAGAACTGAAAGTTTACTGAGGTGATGGTGGGGGAGGGGGGGTTAAATTTTAACCCCCCCCCCCCAGGGGTATATGATTTGAACTACAATCTACACTACCTAAGGATGATTCTATATAAATATCACTAATCAAATTTTTTAAGATTTTTCCTATATATTCCTATGTAAAACTTGGGTTGGCCATTTTGGCCCCATCCTTGCCCCGGGGGTCATGATTTGAACAAACTTGAATTTACAGTACCTCAGGATGATTCCACATGAGTTTCATCTATCCTGTTCTAGTGGTTCTTGAAAAGAAGATTTTAAAAAATTGTTCTTATAAATTCCTATGTAAAACTAGGGTCGACCATTTATTTACCAAGTTATTTACTTGTATTGTTTAATACATTGGTGTTGATTTATATAATCAGACTATTGATTTAACAAGCTCTCGCTTAAAATGACATGTTTGAGTAGAGGAGCACTACCTTGTTGAAACAAAATAAAAAGTTATTTACTTGTATTGTTTAATACATTGGTGTTGATTTATATAATCAGACTATTGATTTAACAAGATGCACAGGGGCCACAGCGCTCACCTGAGCTCATCGGGCTTGAATTTACTCTCCCCCCTCCAGGCGTTCATCATTTGAACAAACTTGAATCTACACTACCTAAGGATGATTCCATTTAAATATCACTTATCATAGCTTTGAAGTACTTGAAAAAAAAGATACTAAACAGTTTCCTTATATATCACTATGTAAAACTTGGGTCGGCCATTTTGGCCAAACCCTTGCCCTGGGGGTCATGATTTGAATAAACTTGAATCTACAATACCTAAAGATGATTCCACATGAGTTTCATTTTTCCTGGCCCAGTGGTTCTGGAGAAGAAGATTTTTAAAAGATTTTTCCTATATATTCCTATGTAAAACTAGGGTCGGCAAGTTTTGCCCCACCCTTGCCCCAGGAGTCATGATTTGAACAAACTTGAATCTACTTTACCTGAGGATCTTTCCACATGAGTTTCATCTTTCCTGGCCCAGTGGTTCTGGAGAAGAAGATTTTTAAAGATTTTTCCTATATATTCCTATGTAAAACTAGGGTCGGCCATTTTGGCCCCATCCTTGCCCCGGGGGTCATGATTTGAACAAAGTTGAATAGGCACTACCTGAGGATGATTCCACATGAGTTTCATCTATCCTGTTCTAGTGGTTCTTGAAAAGAAGATTTTAAAAAATTGTTCTTATAAATTCCTATGTAAAACTAGGGTCGACCATTTATTTACCAAGTTATTTACTTGTATTGTTTAATACATTGGTGTTGATTTATATAATCAGACTATTGATTTAACAAGCTCTCGCTTAAAATGACATGTTTGAGTAGAGGAGCACTACCTTGTTGAAACAAAATAAAAAGTTATTTACTTGTATTGTTTAATACATTGGTGTTGATTTATATAATCAGACTATTGATTTAACAAGATGCACAGGGGCCACAGCGCTCACCTGAGCTCATCGGGCTTGAATTTACTCTCCCCCCTCCAGGCTTTCATCATTTGAACAAACTTGAATCTACACTACCTAAGGATGATTCCATTTAAATATCACTAATCATAGCTTTGAAGTACTTGAAAAAAAAGATACTAAACAGTTTCCTTATATATCACTATGTAAAACTTGGGTCGGCCATTTTGGCCAAACCCTTGCCCTGGGGGTCATGATTTGAATAAACTTGAATCTACAATACCTAAAGATGATTCCACATGAGTTTCATTTTTCCTGGCCCAGTGGTTCTGGAGAAGAAGATTTTTAAAAGATTTTTCCTATATATTCCTATGTAAAACTAGGGTCGGCAAGTTTTGCCCCACCCTTGCCCCAGGAGTCATGATTTGAAGAAACTTGAATCTACTTTACCTGAGGATCTTTCCACATGAGTTTCATCTTTCCTGGCCCAGTGGTTCTGGAGAAGAAGATTTTTAAAGATTTTTCCTATATATTCCTATGTAAAACTAGGGTCGGCCATTTTGGCCCCATCCTTGCCCCGGGGGTCATGATTTGAACAAACTTGAATCTACACTACCTGAGGATGATTCCACATGAATTTTATCTTTCCTGGCCAAGTGGTTCTAGAGAAGAAGAATTTTAAAGATTTTTCATATATATTCCTATGTAAAACTTGGGTCGGCCATTTTCGCCCCACCCTTGTCTAGGGGGTCATGATTTGAACAAATTTGAATCTACACTACCTGAGGATAATTACACATGAGTTTCATCTTTCCTGGCCCAGCAGTTCTGGAGAAAAAGATTTTTTAAAATTGTCATTAATTCTTACCAAATTCATTATTATCTCCCCTTGGAAAAGGGTGTGGCCCTTCATTTGAACAAACTTGAATCCCATTCACCCAAGGATATTTTGTGGCAAGTTATGTTGAAATTGGCCCAGTGGTTCTTGAGAAGAAGATGAAAATGTGAAAAGTTTACAACAACAACAATGACAACGACGACGACAGACACAGACAAATTGTGTGCGCAAGAGTTCTTACTTCTAATACTACACTACGTAACCAGATGATGTCCGTAAATTATATTTATATTTCACTCGGTTAGTAAGTATTGTCTATAAAATTAAAAGTCTACATCAATTTTCTGAAAACAACCATGAAATACAATGTAGCATCAACGTGAGTATTGTTTCTGGTTGGCGGGTCTAAGCTACTGGCAAATTTTAATGAAAGTGACAAAAAACAATCGATTATTTATTTCATAAAATGTCATCACTGAATCATTCAATCAAAACTTGATTTAATTGATATAAAAGAAATAAGTTGTCGTAACAGATTAAAAAGCATTATGTGCAAATTATTTTCGTCAATCACAGATCTCAAAATTGACGGAAATTTCTAGAACATTGCTACATTGCTTTTATCAAGAAATAATAATAAATGTTGTTATTTATGGGTATTTGATTAAATAGTTTTCCAAAAATTGATGTTATATAAATCATAATACAATAAACCTAGGTAATCAAAGATTACGAAGCTCAACTCGACAAATGTTATCAGATTAAGTAATGCAAATCCTACATCATATTTTCTTAATATTAAGTATTCATCCCAACAACAATATTCTTGCAAGTTGTGCTTAACCCTCTACATGGCATATACACATTTCTATGCATTTAGTTTGAAAAACATGTATTGTGTAAACAAATATTCATAAATGTTAAAACTGAAGATATCAAAAACTTCAAGTTCATTCGGATTGATCTGTTCCCAAAACTTTAACCTGGTCTCTTGTATGGAAAATATAGGTCAGATCCAGCATATCAAGCAAGTCTGATAGTGTCCATCCTAAGATGCATCATCCATGCAAGTTTGATTTAGCTAGGGCTTATAGTTACATGTACTTGGGAATGAAAATGTAGGTCAGATCCAGCATCCGAAGCAAGCCTGGTAGTGTCCATTCTAAGATACATCATCCATGCAAGTTTGGTTTAGGTAGGGCTTACAGTTACTTTGGAATGAAAAATGAAGGTCAGATACAGCATCTGAAGCAAGTCTGGTAGTGTCCATCCTTAGATACATCATCCATGCAAGTTTGCTTCAGGTAGGGCTTATAGTTACTTGGGAATGAAAATGTAGGTCAGATCCAGCATCTGAAGCAAGTCTGGTAGTTTCCATCCCTAGATACATCATCGATGTCAGTTTGGTTCAAATAGGGCTCATATAGTTACTTGGGAATGAAAATGTAGGTCAGATCCAGCATCCGAAGCAAGTCTGGTAGTGTACATCCCTAGATGCATCATCCATGCAAGTTTGATTGAGGAAGGGATTATAGTTACTTGGGAATGAAAATGTAGGTCAGATCCAGCATCTGAAGCAAGTCTGGGTGTGTCCATCCCTAGATACATCATCCAAGCAAGTTTGGTTCAGGTAGGGCTTATAGTTACTTGGGATGAAAATGTAGGTCAGATCCAGCATCCGAAGCAAGTCTGGCAGTGTCCCTCCCTAGAAACATCATCCATGCAAGTTCGGTCCAAATAGAACTCATAGTTACTTGAATGAAAGGTAGGTCAGATCCAGCATCTGAAACTAGTCTGGTAGTGTACATCCCTAGATACATCATCCATGCAAGTTTGCTTCAGGTAGTGTTCATAGTTACTTTGGAATGAAAATGTCGGTCAGATCCAGCATCCGAAGCAAGTCTGGTAGTGTACATCCCTAGATGCATCATCCATGCAAGTTTGGTCCAAATAGGTCTTTTAGTTCCTGAGGAATGGACCTGCTCCAAAATATTTAACCTGGTCACTCATCTAGACAATGTAGGTCAGATCCAGCATCCGAAGCAAGTCTGGTAGTGTACATCCCTAGATGCATCATCCATGCAAGTTTGGTTCAGGTAGGGCTTATAGTTCCTTTTGAATAGACCTGCTCCAAAAACTTTAACCTGCTCCAAAAACTTTAACCTGGTCACTCATATGGAAAATGTAGGTCAGATTCAGCATCCGAAGCAAGTCTGGTAGTGTACATTCATAGATGCATCATCCATGCAAGTTTGGTCTGGGTAAGGCTTATAATTCCTAGGGTATGGACCTGCTCCAAAAACTTTAACCTGGTCACTCATCTGGAAAATGTAGGTCAGATCCAGCATCCGAAGCAAGTCTGGTAGTGTACATTCATAGATGCATCATCCATGCAAGTTTGGTCTGGGTAGGGTTTATAATTCCTTGGGAATGGACCTGCTCCAAAAACTTTCACCTGGTCGCTCATCTTGAAAATGTAGGTCAGATCCAGCATCCGAAGTAAGTCTGGTAGTGTACATCCCTAGATGCATCATCCATGCAAGTTTGGTTCAGATAGGGCTAATAGTTACCTGGGAATGGACTTGCTCCTAAAACTTTAACCTGGGACGCCGACGGTATAACATAAGCTCATCTCGACTTCGTCGAGGTGAGCTAAAAACAATATTTTGGAAAATACGAGCAAAATATGGTTGGAAATTATCAGAAGCATTTTGTTGCTGGGAAAGCCACTTATATTTTATTAATGCAAAGATTATATAAGAAAATAAATCATTGATAACCAAAGTGCTGATTACATTACGTATGTAGTGCATGTATACATGTACCATATTAAATGTAAAAAAAAATCTTTTTACGGCCTTACTTATCGACGAGGGTATCTATATAATTATAAGCCAAGACCCAAGTACATTAAAATTTTTACCTCTTCCCAAAATCAATTTATTAGTAAATTATGTATATTCGTTGCTTTTATCCTTCGAGAAAATGAAACAAGAACGAAATCCATAACACTGTATAAAGAACAAGGTTCACTTTTGCCTTATTTGGCTCTGTGAATTTCTGAAAAACTGAAACTGCATAATTTTAGTTAACATTTGCATTAAATATCACTTAGATCTTCGGTGACTGTGTATCAATAAAAAATGACGTCATATTCTGGCTAGTCAGTTCATTATGACGTCACAAAATGCGTCAATATCCTCAAATTCTGAAAAAGTGTACAAAAACGGCCAATTTTTTAAGCTATTTCTTAATATTTGATATAGAGCGCACTCTCTGATCTAAAATATGCAACTAGTAAACGATAGAACTGTCTCTGAGGATTAATGGACATGTTTTATTTTTTAGATCAGAGAGTGCGCTCATATTATTTTTCTTCACTGAAAGTACTCAATTTTACCTGTTTACATAAAAATTCAAGAACATTGCAATTTCAAAGAGCCAGTTCTCCAGGACCTGGACTTTTAGGAGAAAGATTTTAACAGGATATGAATGTACCAATTCTCTTCTTTACTTTAAAGCTTCAAATAGACAAGAGGCCCAAGGGCCTTGAATCGCTCTTCTGATAAATTGTACAACCTATCACTTGTATTTGAAGCCTCTAACCCTAAGTATCCTAAGACCAAAGTTGCACCACCTGACAAAATTTGATGATTCTTAGCCAATAAGGACTACTTCTTGGTCTACATTCTTGGAAAAGCCAAAATGCAGCAACTTTCACAGTTTGA